CCCAAAACCCCAAAACCCCAAAACCCCAAAACCCCAAAACCCCAAAACCCCAAAACCCCGAGATATCAGCAATATATTGAATTGTAATTAAGCCAATGAATACTCATTGTATTCGAAACTGTAATTCTTGATATCTTCAGTAAATACTTTTCTTGCCCTTTTGCCACAAATTGGATCTTTGTGCAGATCGAACTTGTATTCTACAGGATTCACTTGCACTTTCCAAATTTCGTTGAAGAGGTCTGCAGGTTGGAGTATGTCTCTTCTAGCATGAGAGTTGAATATCTGTGTGTCCTTAAATGCTTGGGAGTTTAGGGTGAAGTACATATAAGAGCACAACTCCACACTTGTCTTCTGGATTACACTCTTGGCTTCAAACAAGAGTTTCAGTCCTTCTTTGTACTTTTGTCTCAAGTGCTGATCTTTCTTCATGAACACTTTTGTGATGAACTCAAACTGTCTTTTAGACGGATTGAACGCTGCGAATAATAGGTCAACTTGAGTCAAGTTCTTTTCCTGAGCTACCTTGGCTCTTAGACCTTCAGGAATTTTGGCTAGTTCCTTGATAGTCTCGTAGTCTGTTGTGTATTCTGTATCATTTCTCTTTCTCAAGAATTTGTCAAAAGGACAGATGTTATTGACAATTAGCTTGAAGACTTCATCCATAAACTTTTTGTGTTTCTCGAGTTGGACTTTTGAGAGTTCATTGAACTTATCTTTGAGAACAAAGTCTGCTTTCTTCTTCATTTCCATGGTCTCAGGGTCCACAAAGTTCTTGAACATTTTCAATTTGATGTCTCTAGAATCCTTGACAAAAGACTTGACTTCTTTACCATAATACTCAAGTTTCTCGCTTCTGTAATTGGCAACTAAGTTTTGTAGTCTGAAATTCTCTTTTTGGAGCTCTTTGATTCTATTCTCAAGATCTTGGTAATAAAGTTTCTTCTTGTCTCTTGATCTCTTGGACCTTATTTTACCCCTCCTTCTTTTCTCTTCGATCGAAATGTCTAGAACATTGGTAATTTGTAAGTCTCAAGCAGGGTAATTTAAAAAGCTTTAAAACTCTAAGCTAGATTTATTGGAAAAGGAACTAGTAAATTTAGAGAGTTTATTATAAGAAGTCTCTTACCTTTGCTACTTGGTAATGAATCGCTTATATATTTGCAGTTTCTTTGTTGTTCTTGATTTCCCTTTGAAAATCAAGCTCTTTGTCTTCCTCAAGACTTTGAAATCCTTCCTCTCTCATCTTAATCCCAGAGTCTGATACTAGCTTTTCTAAGTCCCCCAAAGGATCGTTGGGATGATCAAAGTTGATCATTGAAGAGTCGAACAAGAAGTCCATTAAGTTCTGATTAAGATTTATTCTATAGTTTTAGAAAGTTTGGGGTTTTGGGGTTTTGGGGTTTTGGGGTTTTGGGGTTTTGGGG